TACTGCAATCATTATATCACCTATTTTCTCTTTAGTTCATCATGTCTTTCTTAGAAACCATGATAACTAACCAGAATAAGAAATCGTAGATGTATTCCTTATATCAAATATGTAATGATGGGGTTGCATATATATAAAAGAATTTTTGCACTTTGAGTATACTGGAGGTTTATCGAACGACTTTCCTTGCAATATCTTTTTTAGTCCAACCACTTTATTATATTTTTCCTTTAGGTACGTATGATCTTACTTTAGTCTTAAATGCATACTGCAAAATATGACTCAGTCTTTAAGTATACTTGAATACAACCAAGGACCATGTAATATTAACTCCCTTAATTTTTTTGCCCTGCCTAGGTTGTATACATATGTTGGGTCAATCAGACTTATTCAAATCCATGCATATTTTTTTTTCTTAGAAATATTTTTCTTTATTCATCTTCCCCATAATGAGCATCATTTCAGAATTACAATAAGATGAAAGCTTAAAGAAAATGAAAGTACATTATAATAGATTATAGAATAAATCCATGCATATTTCTTATCTTAGTATTAGTAAAACAATAGCTATACTCTCGTAAATAAAGAGCTATGAGCATATACTAGAAAAATGGACCACCCTTTAGTTATTTGTGAAACTAGCAATCATTTAATATAAGGGGTTGGTTTTTTTTGTAACCGAATTTTTATTTAAAAGTTAAGACTAGTCGTATGGTCCATATACATAGCCACATTGTGATGAGTAGTATGTTCGCGTTCTTAGAGTAAAGAAAATCTTGAAACAAGAAGATTACATAAAAAAGGAATGATTCTTTTTTATCATCAGTCGTTGTATTTTGACTACTTTTTTGGTTTTTTAGTTGAAATTCTCGGAAAAGAAAGATTTAAGAGAATCTATTTACGTGGCTTGTTTTGTTTGGGTTTTATTATAAGGTTTTGTTCATAGCTTTATATCCTTCTTCCTTTCTTTCTTGAACTAGCTTTCTCCTTGTAGCTAGTGTTGCACGAGTTCTCTAAGTTGTCGGCAGGCAAAAACCACATTCATTCATGCATTTTTAGGAAACAACCAAAAATGAAAATAAACATAGGGAACATTTATAACAAGAACAGAAAGAAACTATAACTTACTAGTGTGTTGAAAGTATATAGTATTATCTTATCTGGAAACAGCTATCATTGATATTGAAATCTGATCAGATTTACAAATAAATGTATATACAAAGAAGGAGCATTGGTATTTTCTTTAGTTTCTCTTTGATTATGAGATTTTAGTCAAATTTTTGTTAAAAAAAGTTTGGAAGTACTATATGTGTTGGTGAGAGAACAAAAAATTGAAGAAAAAGTGGTCAAAGC